AGATTCAAGAGAAAGCCTATGAATATAACATTGACTTAAATCATTTATATGTGGACTTCAGACAAGCATTTGATAGTCTCAATAGGGACCAAATGTTAAATGATATTCTCCTATTAGGGATACCATCTAAATACGTCAGGCTCATCAGAGCGACGTTGAAAGACTCCAAGGCTGTAGTAAGAGTAGATGGTGAGCTAACTAAACCATTTAATGTCAATATGGGAGTTAGACAAGGAGATGCTCTCTCGACAATGCTCTTTAACCTGACGCTGGAAGCATCTATTCGGAAACTTGAGATCTCAGGACATATAGGCATCAAATCAATACACGTGAGTGCATATGCAGATGATCTAGCTATTATTAGCAGGAATAAAGCTGCACTGGAAGAAACAGTATTAAAATTGATAGAAGAAACAGAATTAAGGGGGCTAAAAATAAATGAATCGAAAACAAAATATATGAAAGTTACAAGAGCAGAAAGAAATGTCACAAATAAATTGAAAATAGGACATTATAATTTTGAACATGTGCAGAATTTTAATTACCTGGGTTCACAGATTAATACTATAAATTCAGTAACTAATGAAATTAAAGCACGTATTGTGAATGGTAATAGATGTTATTATGCCTATCAGAATTTAATGAAGTCTAAAATACTGGGGAGGGAACTTAAACTGAGAATCTATAAAGTTCTGATAAGACCAGTAGTCACATATGGATGAGAAGCCTGGACATTAACTAGCTTTGATGAGCAACAACTTAGAATATTTGAACGCAAAATATTACGGAAAATTTATGGTCCAATACAGATTAGTGATGGCTCCTGGAGAATTAGGATGAATCATGAACTAGATTGTATCATACAGGTAGCAGATATTGTGAGGCTGGTCAAAAGCAAAAGGTTAACCTGGCTTGGCCATGTTGCAAGAATGGAAGGAAACAGGGTAACTAGAAGAGTGATGGAATGGAGACCGATGGGAAGAAGGATGAGAGGAAGACCACGGAAACGATGGATAGACGACGTGGAGGAGGATGTGAGGACGATGGGAGTAAGGGGATGGAGAAGAATTGTGAATGATAGGACAGAATGGAAAAAAATTATCGAACAACCTAAGACCCACACAGGGTTATAACGCTACAAGAAGAAGAATAAGAAGATTAAATGTGTCAGTGATATTTATACTTCATGTCTTTTCATATTTTATTTATTTGGAAGTCTATAGTTTATGTGTACATTATTGTTAAATAGTATTTTAACAGGTGCTTGTTCATATTCAACAACACCACCACCACCAGGCAAAAGATCCAAGACTCCAATCGGTGCTGATCGATTTATTCCTGTTAGAAGTGCAACCAATTTTGAACTTACACATTATAAGGTAATAAATATGTTGGTGTTTATGAAACATGCAGGTTGTAATGGTTGTGGACCTTGAGAGATTACATCATGATATGGGAAATGTTTGAGAACTGTGTTTTTGTGTCCGTGTTGAGTCACTAAACAAGTGGTTTGCTGGTATTTCTGTAGTATATAGGCGCTGTTTAAAATGTTGTCTTGTACGTGGTTACAAGGAATTTTGAGGAATGTGTCATGATGCATTGGTTTGAGAAGTTGGTAACTACCTACAAAAGTTACTTTCATTATTCATGTCTGTGTGTGCAGAATAACAAAGAAAAATTGGGTTCAAGCTTAGAGGGGGGTGGGGGGAATTTGCCTGTGGAGAGTTAACTGTTATTTTATATTTATAATGTAATTTTAACTAAATTGAATTTATATGAAGTTGATGTGATTTCTTGTCAGGTGACGCAGGGACAACAACTAGATGATGAATTAATAAGCCCTTCACAGAAAGGATATCAGCGCTTCATGTCAGAGTATCTGTTTGGCAGAGATGTTAGAAATATGAGGCTTCTGTCATACAAGAACAAAGCACCAGGAAGGCCTGATGTAAGTTTTCTAGTTTTCTGTTTCATTGTAGTACAACAGGTATTTCATAGGTGATTGCCTCACCACAACGATTGTTAATCTTACTGCTTGCCAACTTAGAGAATTCGTGTTACAATGTGGAAGATCAGCACATACAATAAAACCCAAAGTAGCATGTTGGACACCGCAAATGACACATAACATTTTCTTATTTGTGTCAGGAATCTCATATGTGTGTGTTGTTTAAAGATACTTCAATTCTGAATCACTTTCAGGTGATTTGTTGCTTGTTTTATAGGGCTAGATTGCTCGTGTATTTAGTTTTATCAGTATTTATTTTCAGATCAGTTTTCTGTTAGCCAGAGAATTTCTGCATTCATTAACAGGCATTTAGCACTTACAAGTTAAAATTAAACAAGTTGATCTAATAATGTCTTCAAATTGAAATATTTTAGAGCTGTATGTAGAGAGTAACCAAAAGTATAATTTGACTTCTATTTAAAAAGTTTGGTTCACCATGTAATATAAATGTTCAACTATAAAACTGTGTTTTAAAAGTAGCTGTTATTTGAACAATGTATTCTGAAAATTAATGGGAATCTTGTAAATCACCTGAGACGTTCTGCTGTAACTACAATTTATAATCTGATCTTAAAACTGTTTCTAAATATTTTATTAAATGTAGTTTTTGCAAGAAATCAATTTGTCTTGGTATTGTCAACATGTGTGACCAAAATAAAAATTATTCATACCGTCTATTTTTTGTAATCAATTTCTTAAGCTTATAAATAGTTCTAATATTGAGTTCTGTTTGGCAATTTTTTCATGAGATTGTACTATAAACTCATTTATGTTTATTCAATTGCAGGGATTCTCGGATTCTTTGATTAATATGTATTCCAAGGCACCAGCATCAACAAAAAGTTCAACTAGATACATTCCAAAAAATCCAGACCGAATTCTTGATCCTCCTGACATTGTGGATGACTATTGTTAAGTTGGTATTTATGTATCTTGTAATAAATCAAATTTGAATGTTTTATCAGCAGATGTTTGTAATGATTGAGCTTCAAAAGGGTCAATGGACAAGGTCCAAAAGCCAAACAATCAAAACATAAACTTTAGGTTTAGAGTGGAACACAGGCCTCTTTCATGACACTTAATGGTTGCCTCAAAGGGAAGTGTAACAACAATGGACTTAGAGCTGGTAAATTTTTCTTCACTCAACTCAATTACCTATGTAGCAATAAAGCAGACACCTAATGCTTGTAATTGGTTCATAAATATGATGCAAACGCGACCAAAGCCTTATCTAAGAATGAGAACCCCCCTTCGTGGGGGCTTGGTCAAGTGTTTAAAACGCAATAAAACCCGCTTCGGGGGGGTAGTTTAGTGTCTCATTCAAGTGTTTTAACCCTTGAGTAAGAAACTAAACTCCCCCCCTAATGGGAGTTAAAACACTTGACGAACCCCCCTTCGTGGGGGCTTGGTCAAGTGTTTAAAACGCAATAAAACCCGCTTCGGGGGGGTAGTTTAGTGTCTCATTCAAGTGTTTTAACCCTTGAGTAAAAAACTAAACTACCCCCCTAATGGGAGTTAAAACACTTGACGAACCCCCCTTCGTGGGGGCTTGGTCAAGTGTTTAAAACGCAATAAAACCCGCTTCGGGGGGGTAGTTTAGTGTCTCATTCAAGTGTTTTAACCCTTGAGTAAGAAACTAAACTCCCCCCCTAATGGGAGTTAAAACACTTGACGAACCCCCCTTCGTGGGGGCTTGGTCAAGTGTTTAAAACGCAATAAAACCCGCTTCGGGGGGGTAGTTTAGTGTCTCATTCAAGTGTTTTAACCCTTGAGTAAGAAACTAAACTACCCCTCCAATGGGGGTTAAAACACTTGACCAACCCCCCCTTATTTTTTTCAGCGTCTTGTTTTTGTTTTTTGTTTTTTCTCCTCTGTTCTTACCGAGTAAGTTTTTCTATATGTGTTGTTAATATGGTCTCGTTTAACATTGTAAGTCTTCTTTGGCTCTTCTCTATTTGTTAAATAGTTCTGATGTAGTAGTTCTTTACGTCGCTCTTCAGAGGCCAACTGTTCTTGGTCAGTAAACTTTCTACGTTCAGCCCCACCCTTGCATATCTTCGTCTTAAAATCGATCATAATAGTTTTCGTAATCGTAATATATCGAGTATATATGAGTATCACTTTACCTTGTTGCAGTTGTTGGTGTTGGTACTTCAAATAGTTGATAACTTCTTCTTTCACTTTTCTGATGTTTTAGGCCAGATGTCAGTCAATTTTTAATAATGCAACGTGCTGTTTCTGGAGCAGTGATAATGCGACTGGCTTGATATTTTTTGATTTCTTTGTTGTGAAGCGTTATTTGTTTACTCGGCATTGTTGTGTTCCACAACAATGCTGAGTAAACAAATATCTGTTGAAATTGTTGATGACGTCATTTCTTGAAGACAATGAGGAATCACAAATTTTTATAGTAGAATATTGATATTAGGTTATAAATCAAGGCCTTTTATTTCTGGTTGAAGAGAATATTTTGGAAGTCGGGGTTTGTATTTATTAATATTTATGTGTGAATTAAGGGCATTTACAGATGATTGAAGCAGTTTCATGCAACTTATTTGAAGAAAACCCTTGGTGACACATATGGTGCTTTTTAGTGGGTATATTTATTTATAATATTACCATAATACATCAGCAGTTCAGTACAGTTTATTTCAAGGAACCGTAGGCAATAATCTGGTGATTTTCTCCACATAATGAACTTTTGTGCTATGAAATTTTCAATATATTCTATACACAAACCCTGTGTAAATGACTTAATGTACAGTGGGCACCACTCAAGCAATGTGTTGAATCTGGTTCACCTTACATGTTTTTGCAGTCAGAGTATAAGTACATATTGTAAAAGGTCTTTTACCTCATATATATCTCCATTGTTTTTATTTTCTCTGTATGTGTGTGTTGGTGCAGAGAGTGTCCTTGAGTGGACGTAATTATTTCTATCTGAATCTGAGATAACCCGTTGAAGTTTGAGGCTTTTCTGAAAAAGGTAATGTATTTTTACAGCTGCACAGTTTTTAGTTATACGTGATATACTGTGCCTCTTTAAAAATTTTGTTCTAATTTAAGTCGTAGACGGTATTGTAATAGTCCTTGTTATTTCAGATCTGAACCTGGTCGATTGGAGTCCCAACAACATTCTGGCAGTTGCTCTTAACACCAGTGTGTATCTGTGGAATGCTGGTACTGGTGCTATTGAGAAATTGCTCAGTCTGGAAGGGAGTGATTTTGTATGTTCTTTGAATTGGATGCAAGAAGGAGATTGTCTTGCTGTGGGAACGAGTATGGGAGTTATACAGGTTTGTTATGTTACCCAAAATCAGAATTAGCAGCATGTAAATTGTCAGCTCTTGAAAGATGTTACCTTCAAGTTAAGTGGGAAATGTAGATGAAACACCTGTATTCTTTGATATGACTACCAAATTGACATTATCGATGTTAAACATTCAAAATGTGTGGTGGCCATGAGAAACTTAGAAAAACAGTAATGCTGTTCATTCTAGGTGCTTGGAGAAACTGACACCCTTTGTTTTTCTGAAAAGAAAAAATCACTGGTACCTGAGAGAAAATTAATTTAAAAGTTTTGATGCAGCTTGCAAATTATATCTTATTTATTTTCTTATTGAAAGTCAGGTGTGACTTCGGTATTCACATAGCTTATGTTCATATAAATATGGTGGTGTTATTGAAAGAAGGAACAATCAGATGGTAAAATGTATTTTAAATAACGTTGTTGAAGAGTACGTATCATGGGCAGCCACTCGCCACGTGTCAGCTCTCTGTCGTGGAATTCATACATTCTGAGCAGTGGTTCTGCTAGTGGTCAGATCATTCACAATGATGTTTGACGGAGTGATCACAGTGTGGCTGGGTTGTCTTTTCATACACAAGAGGTGAGAAACCATGCACAGAGAACTCCTGGAGGATGGGGCCAATAGTTTGTGCTAACTAAGCAGAATCCATTGGCATGCCCAACCAGAACCGGTGGAGCAGTTGAGACACCTTTCGTCTGGTCCCTAAGCATTGACCTGTCCGACAAGGTTGGACCTACCAGTAGCTAAGCTACTGCCGGCATAGCTTTCCGCTTCAAGCAGGGCACGCAATCTCTCCGCCACGTAAAGGCAGTGTCTCAAGGGAGAGGGAAATGACAATATGCTGTACATTTGGCCAGTTGTTGCAGGACGAGCTTACTCACAACCCCAACCTTTATACTCTCTCAGGTGGTCACACACATTATATAAATATATATTTACAACAACAGCCTTAGAGTCTCTTATCTCTTTCTTCTTCTTGGCAGGATAAGGAGCAAAATATTTCCACAATCTTAAGGTTTCATCTGCACCAGCAGACAACACTGTGCTTCCATCTAGAGACATAGCCAGTTGCAATACCTGTGCTGTGTGTCCAGTTAATTCAGCAACCTGAAATTAATTCAACTTAATCAATGCTCTAATTATATTGATAAAATTATGCAAGGACCAGTTCTCCTGCTTTGGGGTTTGGAATGGGGCCAATAAACTCTTGCAGTAAAAATACAAACTGACTCTGCCCGCAGGTGGTGGTACTGGTATTTGTATTGTGTTAGTGTTCTGTTTGGACGACAGGATCCAGTCTGACAATTACATTAATAATATTTTATGGAAATACTTTATAAATTTGTATGGGGTCCACAGAAGTTATTAAATCTGTGGTCCCTGTACAAATTTAAAATATTCACCCAGTGCAATGATGAAAATAAAAGAGTTTCAATACAAATTAATAGGCATTTACGGATCATAATTCTTATGTTAAATAGTAAAATCTAGAACTTCTAGATTAATGGCAGCAGAGATACGATTTTTAAGAAGCATAGACTGAAAAACTAAAAGAGATTGGATAAAAAATAAAAGAAAGAGAATCTAAGTTAAATGTCATGGAAGAGAAACTAACAAAGAACAGAATGAGATGGTATGGGCAATGGTTTATTAAGAGTGAATAATAGACAAATCCCAAAGAAGGATTTGAACCTGAAAGTGAAAGGAAAATGCTCACAATGGAGGCTGTGATAAAGATGGCAATGACAGGTTAAGAAACACAACATAGAGAGAAGGAAGGTCAAGAGCAAGAAACATAGGAGTTGTGGGTGGAGACCAAATTGAGAGGCCAGGAAAACCACCCCATTTTCTTCTTTCATTCCCTCAAGCACGGCAGAGTAAAGGTGATAGGAACAATATCGAAATAAACATAAATTACAAAGTTTGCCATGACAGTATTGGAAAAACATTTTCTAAGATATCAGGTTCTCATGGGAAAGGTTGTTGGTGCCATGAACTGTGGCATAAGTACGTATACTGACTCATGATTTATGATGAAGCAAATAGAGATTGGGGAAAGAAGACTTACGTTTGCAAAATATTTGTTAATGGGTGCCTGACTGGGCATCAGAAACATTATGTTTTTCGTGCTAAACACCAAGTCAGACAGGAAGACAATAATATACAGAAGTGGCTGGTTTCACAAGCCTGTTCTACAAGAATTAAATGTCAGCCACAGGATGCTCAAAATTAAGTGTAAAATAAATCTATCTTCTAACTAACCAATTATATATGTATAATTTTAAAATACATGAAAATATCCTGAGTCAACTTTCGTAGACATCTCCCAATACAAACTGTACAGAAATAACCAATTCATTTTCAATCACTTCTCCATTAACATTTCATCTCACTGAAATTATGATCATTTACCTTTGTCATTGATGGATATTTCCAGATAATTAGTTGATTATTTGGAGAACCATGACCTGAGATAAGTTCTCTGTATGTAGTTGACCACTGAAGACCACAAACCTGCAAGACATTTTTTACAGTGTAAATATTTGCATGGGATTCAAGGAAGTAACAAAATACATGTAGTACTCTTCCACTAAATAACCCAGTCCAAGATGACAAATGACTGACAGATTTAAAAATCAAGACAATTATGAACTAAGAGGATGAAAAATTGTTTAACACACATATGGAGACTTTTCATTCATAAACCTTTCCTTAGTGGTATTAATGTCCAACAAACAGAAGACAGTAGTTGAATATGAAGGTAATGGCCATTTTATTTAAGCTTCAACAAGACAATCACGCAGTAGTTAGGCAACAGTCCATACACATTTGAGATGTGTGTAAATTGAGATGCCTAGATTTTTAAATAAAATAATAATTATTCAACTAATAACTATAGATGTGCTACTGCACCTACCAAATTTAACAGTGCATCAGCCTAAGCAGTTATGAATTCTCTATAGTCATGGCAGTCAAGGGGTCTTAAATACAGTAAATATCCAGGTCTTACCTGAGACTTAGTGTCGATGGTGCTGAGACAACTACCAGTATTGCAGTTCCAAAAGCGAATGCATCTGTCACCTGTTCCAGCACCGCTTGCCAATATGCTACGCTGCCATGGGCACCATGCCAGTGCCTTCACAGCTGCTTGATGTGCACTACAAGACAGCAGGAAAATAAGCATCTCAATGTTGGAATGGAATGTCACAATTTTTGGAGTGCAATTCTACTAAACTGAAAACGTGTCTGTCATTCCCTTGTGAAAATAATTTTTGTGTCTAGACAGTTATATCATAGCAATGATCATGGAGATGGTCCCTGAAACACTGGTGATTTTTAACCAACTGATATGACTGACAGCCCAAGAATGTTTGACTAAAATACAATCAAGTTTGCAATACTGGAACAGTTTCAAGATCCAATATATGTCTACAATAGCATTTTATTATTTTCATGGAATTAATATGATAAGAGTACGACATCCACTCATCTCACAAATACGAAGCTACATCATCAAGTATCCACTTACCTGAGAGAGTATAGAGGTTGCGGTTGTGAGTAAGCTCGTCCTGCAACAACTGGCCAAATGTACAACATATTGTCATTTTCACCACTTTAGTCCACAAACCTGAAAACAGTGAAGTTATCAATAACACATCTAATATAAATTATGTTATGACCGTGGGAGTTTTCTCAAGAGACTGCATGCATGTAAATATTTTAATCTAAAACCAGAGGTTAAAGAGGCATGGGAGGGGGGAAATGCACAGTAACACTTATCTCAAACAATGCCTTTTTATAGTGGTCTGAAATCAGGGGATGCTTTATCACTTTAACTGCTAGGAATGAGGAAGGAAGATGAACAGTCTGGGCTGATAGGAAACAAGGAGCTAGATAGATTATAAGTGGTCCCTTTAGGGCTCTTTTCTATAGGCCTGGACCATTTCCAGATCCCTTCTTCATTCCTGGTCTCTGGCTGGACAATCACCATGGCCCGGTCCTTTTCCTAACCCTATATAAACCAACCACTTCCCACTTAAGCCTTTGGGTTGGAGACAGTATGTTTCTCCGAAACAATGGTAACTGCCTACAAGTACACACTGTCACAGCCCAGAAGACCACCATGATTAGATATGTAGGGGCCTCTCTCTGCAGGTGGTATGAGACTTATACAAAGCTTACTACTTTCTTGAGATGACGTATAGTGCAAGGTTTCTTGCAGTGACTCCAAGTGAATAAAGTATCTTCATCTTGTGTAACTGTAACAATGAACTTTTCATTTGTGGAAGGTGTGTCAAGATTTGTAGCATCAGTGTTCCTTCCCAATACTATAACCTATTCCTGCCGTGAATATATCACTACCCTGAACACAAACAGGTAAGTTATGGCATGACCTTTGGTAGGGAGATGAAGCAGATGGTGTGGTGGGGAGGGGTACTGCTAAAACTGGCCTACATAATGTTTGCAGTTTGTCAGCAGAGGTGATTAAATGGTGGGTAGTAAACCTTCAATAAGCCACGGTGCTCTAGCGGTTAGAACGCTGGCCTTGTGATCCTGGGGTCTCGGGTTCAATTTCCGGCGGTGCCCGAATTTATAACTTGTGTTGGGCAAGGCCGTGGTCTAGGCAACATGGAGTTTTCCTCCGGGGGCTTCCACGGTTTCTCCGTGGCATCCCAACAATTACTCCATTCACACACAGAAGAAGGCAATGGCAAACCACTTCTGGATCATCTGCCAAGAACGTATATGAACAGGTCCCAGTCCGAGAAAAGGATGGAAGGATCCTGTTCATATGGACTTGTCATCAGACAGAACACTAAATAAATAAATAGTAGACCTTCATTAGTGTCATGGGAATGAATCTGTCTGTAAACATGCCAATGGATTCTGCATAGTTAGCACAAACTATTGGCTCCATCCTCCAGGAGTTCTCTATGCATGGTTTCTCACCTCTTGTGTATGAAAAGACAACCCAGCCACACTGTGATCACTCCATCAAACATCATCGTGAATGATCTGACCACTACCAGACCCACTGCTCAGAATTTAGGAAATCCACGACAGAGAGCTGACACGTGCCGAGTGGCCGCCCATGATACGTACTCGCTTCATGTTGCTGCAATCCCACAACTTTAAAAGCAAAACAATTCAATTAATCATTTTGAGTATTCTAAAATTACAAAACAATGAGAACTCAAAAATACTAAGCACAAGACATATCCTAGGTTAAATATAAGTTTGGAGAAAAATTAATTGCAGAAGTTGAAACAAACAAATTCCTTGGCTTACAAGTTGTCAAAACCTTAAATTGGAAGAAACACATTGAGTATTTTATTCCCAAATTAAGCTCTGCATGCTTTTCCATGAGAACAGTCTTATAACTCATGACCATAGATACTTTAAAGCTAGTTTACTTTGCACAGACGTTGGCAGGAATAATTCTCTTTGATATGTGAATAAGTGAATGGAAATCTTCTGCATGACAAATTATGCCTGTTTTATGGTTAAAAAACATGGTGCATTCAGAATCTAGTACTGTATATACTAACTGGAATATTAAAAACCATTTGACATTGAATGTTTCTTTATAACTACACACATAATGGTAAGGATGTTTTTCAAGGGTTTGTAGAACAGTCACCATATCCAACAAAGATAATTTGCTGCAGTTTTACGACCAAATGCCAACTGTATGTGCTACACAACTAACATCAAGTGGATGTAATGTCTTTCAGATTTCACAGATGCAGCACACAGCAGTGGTTTGTCAAATCACATCTTCGCATTGGTTGAGAAACATGGAATGTTAACAAATACACATTTTAATGTATCTCTATATCATTCATAAAACTAAAGCTTAAAGTTACCACACTACATGATTTGGGTCCCGAACAATATAAACATTTTCCAGGTTAATTAATGTTACAAAACATCCTACCGTCCCCTAATATTTTATAATGATTGGTTGCTTGTTTGACTGCTTTAAAATTAGTTCGACTCCGGATATTGTATGGATCTATCAACACAACAAATTATTTTTAAATTCAAAACTAACAAAGTTTTAACCTAAACTAACATTACTTAAATTTTGTACCATAATAGCATGTTTCCTGTTACAGAGCAATAGTTATCTCACTATACATTACTCACTAGAGCATTGCAGTGGACCACGTAAAGATGTGTATTTCCCTTTTCAACTCATTAATGTGGTTAAAAGTATAACAGCCTTGCCAATAGATGCCTCTTGTATGACTATGACCATCAGCTTCCTTCCTTTGCTTGCTCACTCGCAGCCTGCATTCCGATTTACTGGCTGGTTTAATTCTTTGCCAACCATAGCTATTGAATTTCGGGCCCAAGGCAACTTGTAAATATCATAAAGGGTATGAAAGAAATATCGGAAATATTCTTGTAGTTAATGACCACGTTTAACTGTTGATGTTTTTGAGGTATATTTACTTTTTGTAATTCTATGAAACTATTTCAAATGAACTAACACACCTAATCTGCCACGAAGTTGGAACTTCACATGTATTTACTTACTAGTAACACACACCATTTTAACTTACCTCATGCAATTAGTCACCAAATTGTAAAGATTTGTACAGAATCGGAAGCATGAGGAAGAACAAGACAGGCTTGATGAAAACTAGGAAATTTTAAGGTTAACAATCCACAACCGATCACCTTGCTCATTGACCAATACCACCCTAGTATTCACAGGAATACCAACTTACATGCAAATTAAATTAAAATGCTGAAATTTCATTAAAATATAATTGTGCCATTCAGAACCACATGAATACATATTCTAATAGAAGAGTCAGCATTAGGGTTTATACAAAAACCGACTTCTGAAAAAACCGGTTTTCGAATTCCAGTATTCCAAAAAACCGGTTTTCGAATTTTTACAAAAAAACGAAATATAATTAAAACAGTAAGAATATATTTATGCTTATTTTAAAATTATTCAGTTTATTAAATATTCATGGAACTACAAAAATAGAACAAAATAAAATATACTCCATACAAAACCAAATAAAAGAAAACTAAAATAACTAAAATCAATACAAAATATAAATTATAAATTTTTATTTCATTTAGTATTTTTCTTCAGGAAATATGAATTCAAAAAAACATAAAATATCCACTGAACTATTACCTAATCTTGTTCTTATTCTAGATACAAAATTGCCTGAAATAGAATAAATACTCTCTCACTGGCTACTGAACTTGGTTTTATCGTTTTCAGGGTATCAAATAATACATCCAAATTCTTTGTTCTTTTATTGGTTGCCTCAAATACTGAAAATTCGGCCTTCAGTGTCTTCGGATTTGATATTATTTCTTCAGGTTCCTCAAGTAACATAAGAATTGAGTTTTCCATGGCTTCTTTTACAGCATTGCCCTGATTAATAGTTTCTCCGTCTCCGATATATTCATCATCGGAATCTGTTTCCATACAACAATTTGGATATATTCTAGACAATATTTTTCCAGATAACTTAATAATATCGAGTTTTAAAGCTAGTGGGAATACACTAGATTTCTTTGTTGAAATGTTTTGGGGATTTTGCAAATATAGCAAAAGGGTTACCAATCCAACTTGTCTTCTTTCTTGAATTCGTACTTCTAAAGCATTTAATAATTTGGAACTAATTTCAGCCTGACTCATGAAGATTAGTTTTACTACAATATGCTTGTGCCCGAGGCGCTTTTAAGTCAAAATGTTAACGTTTTTAATTAATTAATTTTTACACATTAATTATAGTATCTCAAACCGGCTTTTAAAATTTTAAAAAGCGGTTTTCGAATTTTATAAATTTATCCCAAAAACCGGTTTTTAAAAACCGACAAATCCGAGTCAGCATGATGAGGTGGTATGCAGAACAGAAGGGTAGGGCATGACAAAGATATATATGTAGCAATGAAACACATTTTGAAGATGCTGTAATAAATCTCCTTGCAATCTTAAGTGTTGAATTACTCAGTAATGCAGCTACATGCACCGACCCCCATATCTCAAAGGATGAGCCTGGTTAGAATTGCGTTGGGCATGATGAATAACTGGGATTCAATTAATGAAAAGAGCAGGAATTTTCTCATCCAGGCTGGCTCTGCAGTCCACCCATTTTCCTAGTGAGTCCTGGAGTTCCTTTTCAAAGGATAAATCACCTCTAGCATTAAGCTGACCACTCACTTCCATCTACTGCTGAGATAGAGTGGATGGAGTGTTACATCCCTTCTTCCAGCCTTCTTCAAACCATGATACTTATGCAAAGAGAATTTTACATTCATATTGACCTTATTGGTGGGAATGGATCACCAATGTCTAATGGGTGAGAAGACAAATCTCATTCTCCCATCATGTACTTAAGTTTTAGACAAAACAGTTTAATATGTCTTCTTGGATAGAGTTTTGATTCTACAACTTTGTTTTTAGAGCTCTCAACATCTCAGTACAAAATGTTATTTTAAGCCACGGTGGTCTAGCGGCTAGAACGCTGGCCTTGTAATCCTGGGGTCTTGGGTTCGATTCCAGGCAGTGCCCGAATTTATAACTTGTGTTGGGCAAGGCCGTGGTCTAGGCAACACGGAGTTTTCCTCCGGGGGCTTCCCCGGTTTCTCCGTGGCATCCCAACAATTACTCCATTCACACACAGAAGAAGGCAATGGCAAACCACTTCTGGATCATTTGCCAAGAACGTATATGAACAGGTCCCAGTCCGAGAAAAGGATGGAAGGATCCTGTTCATAACGTATATGAACAGGTCCCAGTCCGAGAAAAGGATGGAAGGATCCTGTTCATAACGTATATGAACAGGTCCCAGTCCGAGAAAAGGATGGAAGGATCCTGTTCATATGGACCTGTCGTCAGACAGAACACTAAATAAATACCTTACGTTACCTTACATTACCTTACCTTACCTTACATTACATTACATTACTTTACATTACATTACATTACCTTACTTTACATTACCTTACATTACATTCAGCTACCACAGACCCATCTTAAGCGTAACTAATTCAAGTTAAATAATCAAAGTCTTAATCAAACTTTACTCAATTGTAAAGCATGTATAAAGGAAATATTTAGAATAAAGCCAATATATAAACTTCCTTTCCGTATAGACGTATTTACGTCAAATTCTCCAGAACCGTGGTTCCACTGACAACTTTTTACATTGTTAATGGTACAGCCAACTTATTTGGGATAATTCTGTTGAAAATGTAAATAAGACACCCTAAGAGTCAAAATACTAACTCATAAGGTGATCACCAGTTATTCCTGTCCAAATATTACTTTTGAATTGATGCTTCATTGCTGCAGCCGCTAACAAGGCATTTGTGGCATGCAATTAAGAATCAGCCGCCCATATATTATATATTGCAGTAGGTGTCAGGCAATTAATCTGCATTTATTCTTCATATTAATACGCCATGACACGTAATTAATTTCATCGCCTAGCGTGTGAAGGCATTTGTAGTATGAAAAACTTGGCATCAAGATAAACTCTTTGTTGCCAGTATGAAGATGCACTTAAGGCTCTCAAGGAGGGAACAATTGCAAAGGCCATGTTCAAGTTGGAGAAGCAGCAACACAGAATTAGAACTCTTAGCTATGAAAGACTGTAGACTGTACTGGAATTACTGGAATTTCATTGAAACTTTATTTGTTTAATTATGCTATAACAACAGACAACACTGCAGCATTATGATGCCATTTGCAATGTCCATTCATTATTACCATCAGCAATTCAGTCATAGATTCCACTGAATTTTAGTATCTAATGACCAGAAAGTGTCCAGATCTTTCTAGAGGAAACAGTGTAACACATCATCGTCACATTAAGTTCTTGCATCCAGACCTTCTAAGAACATCAAATTGTAACACTTAAGTAAATTTAAAATTAATACAGAGACATATTTACTATACACCAATATTAATACAAAAATACCTGTTCACTTAAAGCTTCTAAAAACTAACCTACAAAGTCATCTGCCGACAGAATGGTAATTCTGACCAGCAAGTGAGTAGTCAGGAACAGAAATTACTAGACATATTGCCCTCTTAATTACGTATATGGTGTGTATTGTCAGCAAGCACTGGTTGCTTCTACGAGTGTTACTATGTCACGTTTTCACTGTGCATTCATCTTTTATATTAACTCACATGTTCCTGGTTGTCAGCTGCAGTTTGTTTCAGTTATTCGACACACCATTTGTCTGCCTCTGCCTCTCAGCATCATCACTTTGCTACTTATGATTGGCATGACTCTTGCCCCTTTTAAACTTCCTCAACACAAAGATATATATCAGTAACAATCCCTTGTAAAGAATGATCCCCTTAACATTTTAGTTTTCTTTCCAGGACTTCCACCCATTTCCGTTCTATTCCTGAGAAGACCAAAAGATGGTGCCATAGAAAACAAAGTACGTTACCTCAACTACAGTAATTTGCTGACAGTTTAGGTGGATGAAAAATTGTAAAGGAACTGTTTCTGAATGTTTTGCATCTTCTCTGAAGAATGCAGACAGTGAAGAATGGAGTTTTAACTGCGTTAGTTTTCTTACATGTTTTGGAAGTACTTAAAAAATTATATAAATGGGCAAGTATGTTTATATTCATGTGTATGTTTCACTGGTAAATAACAAATCATCATTTATTGCAAAGATTCAAATAAACTATTAATATTATCAGTTGAATTACAAAAGCACAACATCTGAAAACTGGAGCCGAAATATCACTCATCACATCCCAAACTTCAACACTGCTGAGATTTTCCTCAACAAAATTTCAATGGTTGCAGAACCCAAACAAAACAAATGCGGATAATCTATGTAACGTGAGACGTGAGGCTAGTAGAACCTTTAGGACTAAGAAAAGGGAATACCTGAAGGGCAAAATTGCTGAACTTGAGACAAATAATAAGGAAAAAAACATCAGAGACCTGTACAGAGGCATGAATAACTTTAAGAAAGGATATCAACCCCAGACCAATTTGGTAAAGGATGATAGTGGCAAGTTGCTTGCAGATCCAATAAAAATTGTGAATAGGTGGAAAAATTTCTTTAGCGAGCTCTTAAATGTTCATAATACTGGTGATATTAGACAGATTAAAAGGCATACAGCTGAACTGTTGGTGCCAGAACCAGGCTTAGATGAAGTGGAACTAGCCATTGGGAAGTTGAAAAGTTATAAATCTCCAGGAATTGATCAGATTCCGGCCGAATTAATTAAAGCAGGTGGCAAAGGGTTGCATATGAGGATCCATAAGCTTATTCAGTTAATTGGGGATAAGGAAGAGATGCCACATCAATGGAAGGAATCCATAATTATTCCTATTTATAAGAAGGGGGACAAGACTGAGTGTGGTAATTACCGAGGAATATCGCTGCTATCAACCTCATACAAAATTCTATCCAACATTCTTTTGGCAAGATTAACCCCATATGCGAATGAAACTATTGGGGATCATCAGTGTGGGTTCAGACGAAACAGATCAACGATTGATCAGATCTTTTGCATTCGTCAGATACTAGAGAAAAAATGGGAGTTCGGTGGGACTGTACATCAGTTATTTATAGATTTCAAAAAAGCCTATGACTCTGTGAAGAGAGAAGTGCTATATAATATTCTTATTGAATTTGGTATACCAAAGAAGCTAGTGGGTCTAATAAAAATGTGCTTAAATGAAACCTGCAGCAAAATTCGAGTAGGTAAATATGTATCTGAGACATTCCTCATCAAGAACGGTCTAAAACAAGGAGATGCTTTGTCTCCCTTGCTCTTTAACTTTGCGCTAGAATACGCCATCAGGAAGGTCCAAGGTAGGCAGGAGGGTTTGCAATTGAACGGGACACATCAGCTATTGGCATATGCTGATGATGTTAATTTATTGGGGGACGATATAAATACAATAAAGAGGAACGCAGAAGTTTTACTAGAGGCTGGTAGACAAGTGGGGCTGGAAGTAAATTCAGAAAAAACTAAGTACATGTTAGTATCTCGTCATCAGAAGACAGGCGGGCAAAATTATCTTAGGGTAGCTAATAAATCCTTTGAAAGGGTTACAAAGTTCAAATATTTGGGAACAACAATAACAAATCAAAATGATACTTGTGAGGAAGTTAGGAGGAGACTAAATTCCGGAAATGCTTGCTACTTCTCAGTCCAAAATATTTTGTCTTCCCGTCTGATTTCTAAGAACCTGAAAATTAAAGTATACAAAACAATAATCTTGCCTGTTGTTTTGTATGGGTGCGAAACATGGTCTCTCACTCAGAGGGAGGAACACAGATTGCAGGTGTTTGAGAATCGGGTGTTGAGGAGGATATTTGGGCCTAAGAGGGAAGACGATGGGGCGTGGAGAAAACTGCACAATGACGAGCTTAAAAATCTGTACTGCTCCCCCAGTATTGTGAGGGTGATTAAGTCGAGAAGAGTGAGATGGGCGGGACATGTAGCGCGCATGGATGGGACAAGAGGTGTGCACCGGGTACTGGTTGGGAAACCTGAAGGGAAGAGACCGCTGGGGAGACCTAGACGAAGATGGGAGGATAATCTCAGGCGGGATCTATGGGAGATAGGAGTTGAAGGAAACTGGATTTTGTTGGCCCAGGACAGGGTCCGGTGGAGGGCTTTGGTTAATTCGGTGATGAACCTTCGGGTTCGGTAAGCCATCTAGTTAGTTAGTTAAGACGAACTAAGTAAAATATTAATTAAGCTTTACGTGGTTTTGTAAAACTGTATGTCTTGTTTCTTACTCTGCATAAATAAACCGAACATTAAATATATATAAAACAGGGAAGTAAACAAAGTTCCATAAGAATCGTTGTTCTCATACGTCTTCGTCATTACAACGCAGAAAAATATTAAATGATTAATTATATACAAAAATTAATATAATCTACTTTCTCGCCCGCAAGAAAACATCACGTCTCAACTAACACCACGTCATTTGGAGTTTGAAGTAAAAGTATTTAAAGGGGACATTCAAAGACTTGATGGGCGATGTCCGAGAACAAAAGTTATAATTTATATGACATACACGATACAAAGCAATCTAAATCATTTCCACGACTTTATTTATGCTATATAAATTGATCTCGATCTTGTTTTCATAGTAAATAATTATACAAAAATTTATTAATCTTCCCTTAGCAATGCAATGAACAACTTAACTGAGACCTTTCGAGTAAATTCAGATATAGTGGAACTTAATTAATATGGTGTTTAAGAGATAAGTAACGATGTCTTATTAAGACATAATTATAAAAGTGTATTTTTGTTTTAAAATGCAGACTAGGCCCCTGAAAATTAAACAAATGTCTTCATTATGTGTTAATTCCAACAGTGAACCTGAAGCTGAATTAGCTTAATGTAATTTACATTACCAATACCAATTTATTAAGTCATCTTTTCCCACTGCATGGCACTTCCTCTGGAAGCAGGAGAAGGCATCCAGAAATGGAGGGCCGCTGGAAATAGGTGGGATGCTGACAACTCCTCACCATAAAAGGACTAGCATATTTATATGGGTCTAATTTTTTAACTAGCTGAGCGTGCTGTCAGCCTCTCAAAGAGAATGCTCCATGCAGTACAAAGTTTTGTGCACATCTTCATCTCATTCCATTAGGTTTCCTTGACAAGATTCTCTGTGTATTCAGAATGTGGCAAAAGAAATCAAGCATCTCAAATGTGACCATTAAGTCCCTCTATGAATTCATGCTGCCTCTTGTCCGAAAACGATCACTAAGTGATCTCTATCCCCCCCTCTTGCCACATTCCCAGCATTCCTGACCTGCAGCATAATTAATTTAAGTAGCCATGGGATCTGCCAACGTAAAGCACTTATGTGAAGTGAATCTCTCTTTCATCTACTGCGTGCACAGGGAAAATTTTGAGTGCCTTCACAGTTTATAGCATGCAGTCCCCCACAACCTGTTAATTCTCGTGGGATGCTCTTCTTTCAAGCGCTTAGAACAAAAACACAGTGCTGCCAATATGTATGTTGAGCATTAACAGAATAAGAGCCAGTTGACAGTCTGACTGCATGCAGCCTTTGTAATAACACTGCAACTGTGCTCTCTCGTTCAAAAATGAGGGTCAGGAATGAGGTATGGGATGAAGGAAACAAGAAAGAAAGGATTGAAGAAAGTAAGAAAGGAGGAATTGAAGAAAGGACTCCAGTTCGTGTATTAAATAAAATCTGATGTTGTAATTAAGAGTCTATAATAATGGGACTGTGTACCAAAGAATTTTAAGGCAATTAAAATTGATTTTGTACATGCTGTGTTTATCTTCATCTCATTTCTTATTCTCATAATCATCAACCAGAAATTAGTTCTTGGGCACGTTGTGATTCAGAAGCAACCTTCAACTCTGTGACCGAATGTCTTGCAGGCCTATATTCATAAATTATTTTAGTTATTTGCTGTGCGGATGTTGACAGAGGTTGAAGGTGCTGTTGCCATGAAAATCTCTATCCTGAATCAGACGAATCCAATCCACACACTCCCACCCTATTTCTAGAAAATCAATTTAATATTATCTACCTATCTATGCCTAGGTTTCCCAAGGGGGCTTTTCCCTTTACCATTTCTAGCTAAAACCCTGCAAGCCTTTCTCAGCTATTCCATGCAAGCTACATGTCCTATTCAAACTCCTTCATTTGATTACCATAATAATATTTGATGAAGGGTACAAATTATGAGACTAATACAAAGAAATGCATGGCATATATAATATGTTCTAATAACAATTAATGATTTAAATGGAGACAATAAAAAAGTTCAATAAGAGCAGTATAGTTGATTATATAAAGGTATACAATTCCAAAATGTCATTCTTGGGTCTTCTGAATTATACAAAATGACACAGACATGCACAAAACACTACCCACTCAATTATTACCAATAAGTTATACACAAAAAGCCTTACCAGACATTATATTAAAACAAATTTCTTGATTTTTACAGGCACAAAATAGTATGAACATTCTTCACATATGACATAAAAAAGTATGCCTGAACTTTCAGTACTCAAAGCAAGACATAACCAAGATATGATTCAAACATGACAGCGTTTAATATCAAGACTGCATATTTACCTACAATACTCAAAAGAGCAATGATACAACCACAAGTTTTGAAACTTGTTACAGAAAGACCAGTATTATTGTCATAAGCATAAACGAACTCATCGTCACCACCAAATAATATCAATGAGCAATCATCAGAAAATATGCAGCTATTTGCAAATCTTCCTGGAGAAGGAACTTGAAATGTCAGTCTTACAATTCCAGTCTCACAGTACCAAACCTGAAAAAAGAATTAACACACATAACAAAAATTTATTAAACATAATCACACCTAACCAGAACCAACCAACCAATGAACCACAAAATTCAGAAGAACAGATTATCTGAATTAATAAGCTTTGTTGGTTTTATAATACAATTGGAACAAGCCACAGCTTAACCAAATATCATACAAAATGCAATCTGAAGAAGTTAAAGCTTAGCCAAGAAACATAAAAATAATTTAAAATCACTTTCAAAGTAGTAATATTTAAGGAAATAACTTCTGTTTACTCTGATAATTATATAAAATACATTACACTCAATGGGCAAAATACAGAGTTACAGACTAGTATGGCAGGAAGTAACCAACTCAGGGCTGATATGTATGTCTGCATGTTTCTACTCGAGAACTGCTGGATAGATCCTGAAGAAAGTTGATACATGCCACTAGATGCTACCCCAAACTCATACCTTTAAATTCCTCACCATGTACCATGTTACAGACTGCACATACCCATTCCTGTTAAGGCATGACTTCGCCCTGGATTTGGAACACAAGATATGAGAATGCTCAGTTTCTTGCACGATTCATTACTTGACTTTTAAACGTTTAACAGAAATATATTTCTGTCAGCCAAACCAATTTACTGGAACTTACAAATGCAATCAGAACACTGGTTCATACTTTTCTCCTTACTGGATCATTTGCTATTGTGCTACTGTACCGTCACAATCTTCCTAACATCTGGTGATTTTATTGATATCAGTAGTTTTCATTTAGCTAAAAACAAATCAGTTTAAAAACTGGTATAAGGCAAACTTGTAAATCACTGGACACATTAAAACCATAACATTATTTGAAATACTTTTCATGTTGTATATTTAACAATAAACAAGGAAATGTATGCAGGTAGATAAACTTTGCAATACTAAATTTGCACCTGTTGTAGAAAGAACATCAAGATCAATGAGTATGCAAAATAGCAAAGAACATACTATCATTTAGACATGCTATGAAGAAGAATAACTTAACACAGCCATCACTAGAACATGACACCATTTCATCACCAGCACTGGAGAATGTGGCATACAGTATGGCACTCTGATGACCACTGAATGTTAAGTAACTTCTGTCACCACCAGTATCACTGCAAAACATATTACTCCAACTGTCCTGCCTTATACGAAAAGATGGAGTCTTCAGAGCACAACCTGTAATGAAAATGACAATTGTTATTATTATTACAGCATTTTAAAACAGAGCAGCTGTAGCTACAAAAAGATATACAAACATTTACTCACTATAGTACTAAAATTTATTTTCCACAGTTCCTAAAAGCAAATAACAGAATATACTTACCCAATTATAATAAGACAATTTTTTACTTTTAGTTTCATTATAAAATCATTTGGTTACTTTGCACTTGTAAGCGAAGAAAGAGACAAGCTAGATGAGCAGTTAAGACACAATTTCTTCTGAATTTATCAACTGATATATTCACAGTGAATGACTAACATGCTTTATGTTGAGAAAATGTCAAACTGTTTTATTCATTTTACTCTTTATAACTTCTGTTTTCAAAACATCCTCATCCAACATTGGGATACAGTCCTCATTCCTCCTCATAATTTTAAACAGTTTCACGGCTTCAAGATATATCTGAAGATCAATGTTCTGGTCTGAGCTTAGAATTCACAAGCTTTGCAAGGTTAGCATTCAAGTTTGGCTGAAGCTTTAAATACTGACCTGACACACCTATAGCCTGGTATAAAATATTTTAAATTGTACAAAATGCTGATCAAACCAATTGTAAAATACAGTAATGAGGCAAGGGCACAGAGTACAGAGATAAAAGAACAGAAATTCAAACTTACGAAGACTCAATGTTTGATATACTTTACACAAAAATTAAATATTTAGTGAATTCTTCTCAGGCTACCAGCTGTGAATTGAGAAAACACCAACGTATCAAGAACCAGCTTCATCCTCATCCTCAGGTTACTTCAGTACCCTGAGAATATTCAGTATATTAATTTAGATGTCAGAACATACCATGCTCATCAAATTCTTCTTGATCCTTGTTCTTTTATATTACACCACCCAGTTTCCACAGTTTTACAGCAGCATCTTCAGAACAAGACAAAAATAGTGTTCCATCTGGAGACAACTCCAGGCGCAGGATTCTTTGTCTATGGCCTGGGAAAGTGTAGAGATATGAGCAAATTCTCTATCCCACAGCTATAAAACAGGAAGAAGCAAGCAACATAAGAGGGGAAACTAATCACTTTTGGGTTACATCAAATGTACATTTCAAACATTGTACATCGAGAAACAAACACAATATTTTCTGTCACGAATTATGTAGAAAACGTTTGTTAGAACTAATCCATTACTGCCTAAATAACTGTACTTAATATATGGGTCAGTTATGTACACACACAGACAAACAAGACATGCAGCAGCTTCAGAAACTGAGGTACAGGAACAATGTATCAAATCTGATGGCATTTAGAATCCCTTACAAACAGTTGCCTTCAAAATGCTGTCCTTCAGAAGTTCAACCCTTCAGCCAGTGTCAATACAGGTGTATGAAACATTTCTGAGATACCATGTGTGAGCTTCTGAAATGCGATCTTCAATGCTACCTGAACCCCTGCTGCATCCCTGAAGGCAAAGCCCTATCATTTACAAGAGATAATTACAAATTGTAAGAGAAAAGTAGATGAAGAGGTATAATGCATGGCAAACTTTCACTGCTTAAGCAATGATCCATATGCCAGTGCATTGTTATACTGAAGCATTCACTTTCTGACCACCCACATTTAAAGTCTTCAAATTAATTGCCTCCTGTGGATGGATGAAGCACCACCATGCCCTTTTAAGGGTTAAGGACAGAGGAGGAGGAGGTGAATGGTTCAGCACCTACTTGTTGACCACAGCACCTCATAAATAAACTCATAGTGCATAATACCCCACCAGTTGAAAATAACTTTTAACACACTTTCCCCTTCAAATAATCCTACTCAAACATGTGGTTTTGAATAATTATATGTAAATAATTATTTTTAATTTTAAGATCATGAGGGAAACATCGGGTTTAATTTCCTTTTGGAGAAAGTCCA